ACATAAACCCAATTGGTCAAAAGCAAAGAACTTAACCAAATGCCGAAGCTTCTGCACCAAAGCACTGCCTAAATGGCTGAAACTCCTAAGTCGAAACGTTGCGTAAGAAATCAAAGAAGAAGTCGAAGCTTTTTACACAGAAGATCACCAATATGAAGCTCTATCCGGTCAAAGCCCTTGGTTCATCCGAAGTTCCTTAAAATGAAGTTGTCTTTTACAAGATTCGTAGACAATCTTTTGGAATGATTGATATAACGTTTGTAATAAAGAATGTCAGGTGTGTTAGCTTAATGTATAAGGTGGCTGATCTGTTGTCAATGTATTTATTGTATGATTGATTTAGTAATATGAGGCTTCAGTTAAAGAGATGAGGTCACATGGTTCTGATCCAACGGACAATAGTCGGCCAGAACACTATAAATAGGTAGTCTTTGTAAATTGGAAGGGGCTTTTTGATCTTTTGGATGATCTTTTGAACATTGATTCTAATATACGAGAATACACTTAAGAAAAATACTCTCAAGATCCCTCCTTTCTTGTTCTATATTCGTGAGTCTGGTCATAGATTATTTATACTTTGTCGGTGATTTTTTGTTAGCGCAATCATCTTAGTTACTATCGTCGGTACTCAAACACTTTTATTTCGCGCCGTAAAGCATTTCCCGTGTTCACGCTTTCTCCTTCTCTCACTTGTCCTCCGATCAAAATGCGCCGAAACTTGCTTGTGTTGGTGTGAGTGGGCTCGATATCTATTGTCCACGTTAACGTTACGTTTTTTGAGGTCAACAGATTGACGTCGTCTATGGAAAACCACATATTTAATTACGAAAATTCTGTAGGAAAAAGCTAGTAGAAGCAATTCTTATTATGAAATGATTTTCGACCTTTGGAAAAAATGAGTGTTCTTGAAGAAAAAACTGTAGAGAAAATACAAGATAAATCATTTGATTAGAAGTCAGTCTAGTCCTTGAAAAAATAAATATCATTTGTCTAGAAAAAAGCTTATCACCATTAGTTCAAATAATGAAGGATCTGCACCTTGAAGGGCTAGGAAACACCCTGAAGAAGGAGAACCGTCACATGCTGTCCTGGCAACTCGCTATAGACCTCACCAACCTCACAGAGGAGGTAGGTCTAGGATAGCTGCCAGGCTCACTAGGGGGTGGCCACAATGGTTGCAAATATGAAAGATATAACCCAGCAGAACACAGCTATGTATGAACTACTGAGGAGCATGCAGGGTCAAGGAGGATACCTAGTTCCTCCATATGCAGCCCAAGGAAATACATTTCAAGACCCTTCACAAGGAAACTATTACAGCGATGAAGATGAGGTCCAAAGCCAAATGGATGATTACCCATATTACGCAAGGGAGGAAGCTCCACAAGAAGAGAAGTTGGGGTTGATACATCCACCTACTATGCTACGAACCGATCCTCTGGGGTCCCATACAAATTTCCTTCAAACTACTATCCAGAAGAAGACATGTATCGGAGGTCGGTAAGTGTCTTTGATAATTTGAGCACATGATTGCCTAGAAATAGGTAGGCTTAACCTCTTCGTGCACCTAGAAATAGGCAGCAAGAACTTCCCCGATTTGAAATGCATGAGCCAGTTTACAATGAAGTGCATCGGAATCCTCTCCCTAGAAATAGGTGTTATAGGAGAGCGAAACAAGCCAAGAGTTAAGCAGGACCTTCCCAACCACTCCCAAAAACTCAAGTTAGGGAAGATGATGATTCAAATGAGCCACAAAGGTCCTGCGAGCTCGATGACGATGATGGCAATCTACCATTTTCACAAGACATTAGGAATGCTCCTGTATTGAACACTTAACGCTTCCCAAAATTCCCAAGTATGAAGGAAGATGCGACCTTGCAAAGCATCTCAATAGCTTCAAGACTCACATGAGTCTGAGAGGAGCCACACCCACCACAAAGTGTAGTAGTTCCACTTAACCCTAGGAAGAGTAACTGAAATATGGTACACCGAACATCCGGAAGGAAGCATCCAAAGTTAGCCAGACTTCAAGACAACTTTCTTTAAGCATTTTGGAACTAGCAAAGAAGGTGAAGGGCCAATACAGCGCTTACATGACATGAGATAGCAATAGTACAAGTCATTGAAAAGCTTCATGTCTCATTTCATTGATGAGATGACCTACTATGTACAAGTTACAAATAGGGGAGCCTTGTAGCCCTAAGAGGAGGATCGGACATGAACTCTCTCTTCTAGAGAGATGTGCAAAACAAAGACCCTAACATTATGATGCCTTATTGGTAATGATAAGGTGGGAGATCATAAATAATCCAGAAACTCCCAAAGAAACTATGCAAGGGAAGCAAGGGACCTCTCCATAGAGAACTTCATAGTAATC